TAGGCCCAGAACAACATACTTAGGGAACCTAAACTAATGGGTAACAGGGAACGATCAGGGAAACGTAGCTTTTTTTTAGAGCATCCGAGCAAAGGAATGAATGAAAAACATGATCGCCGATGTCTGTCGCAGATCTGACACTGGATGATGATGATGATGAAGATGATGATGATGATGATGATGATGATGATGATGATGATGATGATGATGATGATGATGATGATGATGATCTGCATAGCGCATGCATGGCCTCACTCTACAGTTAGCTCTGTGCGCTTTACAACGTTACTTACTTTACTTACTTTTTCATCCTCTGTTTTACAACTACTTGTATTATATTAGCCTGCCCTAGAACTCTCAGAAACATTCTCGGCTTCCCGGTAAGCATACGGTGCAAGCAAAATCCTCACAAAGTGTCAAGGTCTTTTGCTGTCTGTAGCCGGGTGCCTGTTATTTCCACTTCGTCGAAGAGAGGAAAATTCGCGCAATTGCCTTTCACGAGGACTCAACGTCGGTCCCCATACGGAGTTTGAACCAGCGACCTTATTAATTTTGCGAGCCCAGCAGCCTGACCACTAGATCTAGACCACCGACGCCATGTCGTGTGTCCTTTTCTATGGAATGACTCTTTTACGTAGCGGTCAGAAACAGGGGCTTTTTGGGGGCTTCGTATGTTGTTGGTTTTTGTGTGTGTGTGTGTTTGTTTGTTTTTTGTTTTTGGGGGGAGGCGCTTTCTTTTCTCTTCCTTCTCCATGTCGCTCTTCTCAAAGGTGGCTTGTGGGTGGTTGGTGGGTGCACTGGTGTGGTTTAAATTGTTCCTTCTTTCTTATCAAACATCCATCGTCCTTATCCGTCCTCTTGCTTTCCTCTCAAACATAACATATCGTCCTTATAATTCTTTCCTCCCTTCTTTTCTGTGTATGATAATATATGAGGCAGCGTGGTGGAATCAGGCTCTCGTCAAAATAATCAAAGTGAAGAAACTTGCTTTTTTCCGCAGGTTTGTGGATTTTTATCAAAATTTTATTTTTTGGGTCAGCACCTTTAATGCAAATTAAAGAACTCATTTCTGTGTGAATTTTTGTGGA